TATATATATTAGAGATTGAGAAGCACTGCCACGACAGGGACCCCTGGAGCCCCACGTAGTTGTGCCACACACAACCTCAAGAGTTCAAACATTTCATCCTCAGGCTCCTTAGCTCCATTTAAAATGTATCTCCAGCAACGCTTGTGGGAAGTGTTCTGCTGAACACAATGCAACAGAATTTACCTCAGTTTATTCTGGGCAAATACAGTTCTTACCTGAAAATTAATTATAGGGAGTTTGCTGTTGAGAGACCTGCCAGTAGTCATGGATAAGGAAGGCCTTATCTAATGCCTGCCTTCACCAAGAGAAAGACATGCGCTAAATTAAATGGGCTTTGACTGAGGCTCTAAATTAGCTCAGGCTTTTCTGTGAACCGTGAAAAGACAAGTAGTTATAGCCAAATAAGTACCGAAGCAGCTGTAGGTGTTTATCTAAATCAAAACTAACCGGTCCTGGACAAGAAGTTGCAGATATGTAGAAGACTGCCTGCGCAGTATGACTGTCCATGTCAGCTGTGAGTTTAGATGAACGGTTGGATGGAAACCATTGTAATGCCGATCCAATGGACAGTATCGTCCTGCGTTTCACTTGGAATTATCCAAATGGCTGTTAGACATGTCCCCATGTCCTCGCTCTGTTGTCCTGACCGTAGGCCTCAGGACATGTTGATGTCCCACCGTGGTGTCTGTGTGGACACCATCCCTTTCATACCCATTTTCAGAAACAACTGGGCTAACAGGATGTGGGCAAAGCCCAAGCCTGGAAATCGCCGTCTGCTTTACTGGGGGGGATGCCGAGCGGTTTTGGACAGTATTGATGTAGGGTGGGAATTCTCAGATGGCGTGCCAAGGCGCTGGGTTAGGACCAGAGCTCTCCCCTCACCCTCTCTTCTCTGCGCACCAGGGACCATCGAGGGTGTTGAGCGAAGCCCCAACAAGCTGGCTTTGACCTCGGCGCATACTTTAATGGGGATTAATGTTGTGAAGCAGAAAGCTCTGACCTTACTCTTATTTATTTATGCAACGTAAAGGTTGCAGTCAGACATGAAGACAGCATCCCAGGGCCACAGAAATTATTAGCTGTGGACCGTACTCCAAACCAGCCCATTCTTCAAGTGACGAGCAGGTACTCGTGAGCAGTGTCCCTGATTTCGGGGAGGGCTGTGCTCTGAGCGGTAAATCCTCCCTCTCAGCCAAACCTGTGAGTATCTCTAAATTTCATTGTGTTTTCCTGAAATAGTCTAATGGCCAATACTGCTTTTATGAGATCCTTTTAATAATCCCAGTCTCTGCCTCATTGCATAGGAAGTGTTATTAAAAAGGCAATAAACTACTACAAAGACGTGTGATAGAAATGGAAATAATTTGATAAATAATGCAATTGCCTGGAATCATTTACATTTGCAGTAGAGTTGTGGCATGAAGCAAAGTCGCTGTTAGGCTGAAAATTGCTGTAGATATTCCTGCCTACGAACTATGGGGAAAGGCTGAGCAAACATGCTGCTGAGATTGCAGTCTGGTCTGCCTCGTGCTTTTGCTTTCTTCCTCTGCTTCCACCTCCCCAGCCCAAGCAAGGCTCCGGAGGATGGACAATAGGCCATTCATCATATCGGCTGAAATACACTGTTTTTCACAGGTACATTTAACCTAAATCCTCTCTCAGAAGACGGATTATCTCTTAGAACTCTGGCACCACAGTCTCTTTTCAATAGCAACGTCAACCGCTGCCACAAAGGCTGTACATGAAGGGATCAATGGTAGTTTTATCTCAAATTGCACTCAGTGTGTGTTTCTTCCAACTGACATTCATTTAAATGCTTGCTCTAAGACATCTTTTCTCCCTGTAATAGAAAAAGGATAGGACATCCTAAGCATTGTTTCCTGGGGAAAAAAAAATTAAAATATTCACTTGACTAAGCATGAAATATTTTGGATGCATGTGTTTAATCAACAGTGAAAGCAAGTGTAGTTACGCTTGTATTTCATAAATTAAAATGTTAAAATTACCAGATAAGAAACAACATACCTTATTTCATCACAGCAGTGCTAATGAAACCATTTGAGAGGAAAAACAAAAAAGTCACTTTATAATGATGAGCACTTTGCTCCAAAGACCCATTGGAGCTCTAATCTGCAGTCCAGCGGTTGCGCTGCCCGCCTGCGCGCTGCGTCCCTCGGGAGGGTAACCGTTACCCTCGCACACACAGCCTGCCATGTGCACTGCATTTGTAGTCCGTTCATATTCCACCTGTTTCCATCTGCTGAACAGAAAAATAGAGGGCGAGCTGAGAAGAATATATTGAGGGATACCTGCAGTATTGTCCGTCTGGTGCAGATCTTCTCTTGGCGATGTGTGTACTTTGTGAGTTAGAAAATAATTTGCAGTGAAAAGGTTAGCGCATGGACCTGCGACTTATCCCTGGCAAGGCTTTCACCCAGCGGCTCCAAGGTGCGGCTGGGGTTGAACAAGCCCCGGCTCTGCAGTGCTCGTGTTTGGTTCCTGGACCCACGTAGATTTTCTTTTAATTAAACAACAGAGCAAGATGTTACAGTAGATACTATAAGTCTGGGATTTTTAAGCAAACGTTCTGTCAAAGCATGGGGTCGCACCTGAGCAGCAGGTCGTAGGCATGTTTTGGTAGGTGTAAGTGATGCAGTCAGACACCCAAAGGTCAGATTTCCTAGGAGCTGGGCCGGAGGTAATTACTGCTCCTCAGTTTGATGATGTGCTCTGGGAGTTTTGCAGTTATCAGTTATCATTTATATTCCAAATAAGGGCTTGATCTCGTTTTCAGAAAATAAGTGCTAAAACAACTGATCTCAACAGGATGTATTCTGTCTCTAAATGCATGTTACTGGCTGAGAAATATTTATCTGCTCCTGGGAATCCTGCCCAGCGGTGGGGCGTGCTGTGGTGAGCTACATGAATCAGATCTATTGTGCTCGATTCGGGGTTGGAGGTAACATAACCTGCTGATGGGCGACTTAACAGATACGGCAGATGTATCATGAGCCGACAAATAAGCGCTAATACATCAGACCAAAATGATTATGCACTGCTGTTTTTCCTCATGCTGTCCCAGATCTGCCTGACCTCTTCCATCCATTTCCAGCAGCTGCTGGAGATGCTGGGCAAGTCAGTATTGCCGTAGTGGTCCAGGCAGCTGGCTCTGCTGACGTGGCCGCGATGCCAAGGTGGGTCCTCTCTAGGTAGCTTGGGTGTCTGTAAATAGCAGCAGAGCCCTGTGCAGCTGTAGCACACACTTAGATATTTTTCATCCATAAAGATGCATCTTGCTCCTTCTTGTAGTTTTCAAGAGAGAAACGCCTTAAGACACTTCCATTCCTGCCAAGCTGGCAAAGGGCGCGCACAGTCATCAGACATGCAGCGTCCACGAGAAGCTGCAATGGAAACGATGTGCCTGTCGGGTTTGGAAGCGGCTCCTTTAGGGTAATGCAAAGTGTTCAGCTTGCAACTTTTTACATTTGCTGCTGCAGTGGTAAAAAAAAAAAAAAAAAAAAAAAAAGGGCAAGGAAGGCTAGAGAGGAATGGTTTCAGCATTTTTAAAGGTCCTTTGTCCTCAGAAGAGTTTTGATCAAAATACTGACAAGGTCAGTTCTTCCTGGAGTAGAACCCAAAGCTTCGGTTTAGGAAACAAACAATCCTTTTATCTCCTAATTTCAGTTGCGTCTGCTCTCTGTGGACCTGACATCTCCAGTTGACAACACAGACCAACAGAATCTCTCTTACAAATGCTATGTTTAAAATAGATGACCTTTCTTTATATAAGGATGCTGAACTATCTTATATCATCCTTTTTTTCAAATGGGTATTTTCACCATCTTTGATTTTTCTGTGATATAAGCAGTGACCGTGAGCCAGGTTATCAGTAGAGCAGTTGCATGAACCTGTACAAGAAAAGATTTACATTTTGAGTTGTTGTTACCAGCGTTGTGGTTAGTAGTATCAGGGAACCCAAAACATTCAATGGCAAGTCAATAGCTCATTTTTTGAGTTTGTAGGGGTTTAAAGAGGTGCATCCTCAGAAACCAGCTCTCTGTTCTGAAGTAATACACGTTTATCACAAATATGAGTTATTTTTATGCCTTCCTAGGCATCTTATTACAAAACATTCTGAGAGCGTATTTCAGAAGAGAAAGCATACTGAACAGTGCTTCATTTAATTTGAACTTTGTGTCTTGAAAGAACTTTATCAACCAAACTGCTAAAAGTGGGTGATGAAGGGATGTTTGCTTTTGAGCCAATTAGCAGTTTGAGAACCCTCAGTGGCCTGAAATGAGCCTCTCCTCTCATTTAACGCAGATATGTCTGCAAAGAAAATTTGTGAATTAGCAAAATCAGTGAAAATCCTTCCTACTTTGTCAACTAACTGTGACAAATTTCAAAGTGCTCAAATAATTACTTGTTAACTTCTAACACATTGGACTCAAATTAGAGGACAAAACATTCGGTGTAGAAAAGCACCTTCAGCAAAAAGAGCCACATAACCATAAGGCCTCCTAATCAATGAGTCACAGCAAGGTTTTAATGGTCTGATTTATTTAAAAAAAAAAAAAATTCAGTTAACTTGCACAATGATTTGTCAGTTTTAATGCTGGTCATTTACAGGAGTGTGCAGGGAATTACTTGGTTACCAGCTGAGAATTAAACATGCCTGGAGACTCTCTGGGGAATGGGTCTGGAGAAGGCCGTACAAGTCCCACCTGAACTCTTTCAGCGTGTCACCAGAGTTAAAAAATGCCCATGTGCTCGAATTGTAAAGCCGTCTGGCCATGGATTTCAGCTTAGAAACAGCAGGAGATAAAGATGGCACTAACTTCCTGAGATGTGCCAAAGCCAGCGGTGGGTTGACTGTCCTCATCCAAAGGTCATCGCTAGAGCGATCCAGTCCATGTTAACTGCAAACTAATTTCACATGGGGAATAAAGACAACTTAGAAGGAAACCGATAGCATGAGGAAGAGGCAGAAAAGGAATTAGAACTTGAAATTAAAGCTGGCTTCATCAACAGATACAATTAAAATGATCTATGGAAGGGATTATCCTGTAAATAGGTTTCAACCATATGGCTAAAAATAAAACATAAATACATAAAAATAAAATCTCAACTGTACAGAAATAGTCTAAACCATCACTTTTTTCTGGATTTCTTGGGATGGCAAAAATGCAGAGGGAGTGCAGAGCTTGGCAGGGGCAGTGCCAGAGCCGGGTGGTCCTTCTTGAGCTGGAGCATATTGCTGAGCTTGTTCTGTCCTTTATATTGATTTGAATTTTAATGCATGCTAAGGGCACCTTCAGCTTTCAGAAAGGTGCTATTGTTTCCGAAGACCTGAAATTGATAACAGCAGTAAGTAATTCCTTGGGAGCTCCTGGTGCTGCTGCTGCCCAAGCTCCTCCACTGGAGGCCAGTGTGGCAAGTCCTGTGCTCCAGTGCACATTTAATGTAATACGTGCATTGATTTGTGCCAACATAGTAGTGAAGATAAGAGACAAGTAGCTATATACTACTCTCTTCCAATTATTGAGCTGGAGCAACTGCTACAGAAGCAAATATATGGCACTGGACTCCTGCAAAAATGAATTACAGTAGTGAATGTTACTGACTGCAACAATTTGGAGAGACCCATAAGCCAGTTGAGAAACTTCTATTAATATCACTGCTACCGATGTGTGAAGTATAACCTCTGTCCCTGGTGTCTGCCAGCTGGCCTGCATGTTGTCGTGCTGCTGCAAGAGCAGGTCAGCGAGAGGCTGGCCAGGACACAGATTTGGGGGCTGCTGTCAGAGCATCTCACACCATCTTCCTCCTCCTCGCTCGGTACCGTCATCATAAAGACACTCAAATTGTCCCGTGTTCTGAAACAGGTCTATGCGTGTGGACTGAGTAGCCAGCGTGTGCCCATCAAGAGAGCACGGCATGACAAAAGGCACCGGCTCCCTTGGCTGAGCTGATGTCTCCTGAGTCTCGCTGCAGACCGTGTTCAGCCCAGCGCCTGCAGCTGGCAGGAGCCTGGGGAGCCCCGTGGCTGGCGTGGGCAGATGTTGTTTCGCTTGTGTTCGTGCCTCGGCTCACGCTGGTATTTTATTCGCTGCCTCAGCGCTGTCCTGTGGCTGCGAGAAAAGGCTCGTGCTGATTCTGCAGGCTGTTTCTGAAAGCCCTCTCAGGTGGGCTGTGCCATCTGAGCTCTTCTGCAATGGTGCAAGCATTGGATGCTAAGTTTCTTGCATCTTAATTTCTCAATCCAGTTGTGCAGAGCTTAACTGGCATTAAGAATGCAGGAAGGCTTCTTCATTTTCTTTCAAATTAGTTAAATTGGGAAATAATTAAGCAGGAGAAGGCAGGACTTAATAAAAGATTTTCAATGCAAGTCTGAAAGTGGCTGAAGGGGAGAAAGCAGATTGTGCTGCAAGACATGATACTGAGCAGAGACCCAAGTATGATGCTAAAAAAGGTGATATGAGGCTGGGGGAAAGGTTTTTCTGAAGTTTCCTTAGATTACGCCTCCACAGGGCACAAGCATTCGTATTTCAGTGGGAATTACTGGGCAGGATCAGGTTTTCTGTTTTCAGTGACTTAGAGCAGAAGAGAGCGGAAGAGGAACTTGTGCAAGAGCGGGGGCCAGGGATCACCCCAGGAATTAACATGCCATCCCTGCCTGCCTCCCGCCGTCCAGGAGACGTGTACATGCTGCAGATAACACTGTTTTGACATGGAGTGCGTATGTGAGGAGGGGATGGGAATGAAACGGGATTCTTAATTTTTTGTTTAACCTGCAAGTGCAACTACAGATAAGGCCCATGGGGTGAGTTATACTGCAGGCAGAGAGGTGGAGAGTGCAGGGTGGGGGACGCTTGGCAGCGTGGTACCCTTGCCGAAAAGCCATCAGCCTTCTTGAAAAAAAGCAGCGATGAAACACCTGCTTCATTGCATCTGCTCGGCAGAAGCTTTTACATTGTTAAGCAGCGAGCGTGGAGATTTTTAGATGTAGCCTGTGTACCACATGTTGCAAGGGTTGTCATGGTGAGTGCTGAATATCAAAGTACAGACGCGTGTAAAACCTATACAAGCTGCTGGTGTGTAAATTAAAGTTGCCCTCAAGTAAAGACACGGAAAACTCATGTAAAAGATGCATTCAGTATTTATGAATTGCATCCTGAGAGATTTCTGTCAGCTGAACTCCCTCTGTAACAGGCAACGGACTGTCTGTTGTTCAAACCATCAATAATTAACGCAGACTCAAAAGAGTTTTACGTTAACTGAAAAAATATGTAACTTTTGTGTGCCTGCTGTCTTTCCAGAATCACCGTTTTGGACGATGGGAGCCTCCGGATTGTCAACGTCACCAAATCCGATGCGGGAAGTTACACCTGCGTGGCCACAAACCACTTTGGGACAGCAAGCAGCACGGGCAGCTTGGTTGTGAAAGGTAATTGCAATGTTTATTGCGGGTGACTGCTACTCCGTTTTAGCGCCGAAGAGCATCCCAAGCAGCCCCACGCGTGCTGCACCTTTCGCCTTTGAAGCTGATGCAAGTGGAGCCCGGGGGGGGATTAAAGTGTGTTTTGCATCTCGGAAACCTGCTGAGCCTCGTGGGTCGGAGACAACGTTAACAGCAAGAAGGTATCTGTGGTCGCACTGACTGATGGTGCTTGCAGCAAGTTAATGCATTTGTTTGCACGCGTAGTTTAAAATTACACTGCAAATGAGATGGGAATTGTAACACAAAGCCAGGTCCCTGGTCCGTATTGTTGGATGACTTGTTTCTAGCAACGGATTGAGAAATACTGGCTGTCGCTGCAGCCAGCTGCGCCTTAAGATTCAGTTTTGCAAAGCACGTGCATAAAGCCGTGGCGTACCCGTGAAGAAACGTTGCCCTCGGCATGCTGAGATTATGTGGTGTCCTTTGAACACGTATCTTAATCTAGTTCAACTTCATTTATTCTTGTTACTCCTGAACTTCTATTATCTTTTTAAAAACCTTCTGAACTCTTTAATACATCTTGTCTTGTTGCAGAATGGTGCAAGAGTTTCACCCTTGCAATTCAATGTCATAATTTTTGAAAATATGAACAAACTCTGGTTTAATTTCACTATTTCTTACCAAGGCTGAAGTTCTGCATTTCAGAAATTCAGTGCTTATTCATGTGTGTTCAGATTTTTTCTGTCAAATACGTCTTTCAAAAGCAAAAGTGATAACATTTGACAAAAATATTTAAAGTAATAATTTGATAAACAATGAGAGACACTGACGAATATAATTAATTTTTGTCCTGCTTATAAGTAGTCCAATGTCTGATGAATTATTATAGGCAATGAATATATAGATTATTACACTTATAATCATTCTACATCTCCTTCTTATTTGGGGAAAAACCTATATTGGATAACAAATCAGGAAAGATTGATTACAAAGCAATAAATCAATCACAAAGCTCTAATGCTGCCAGTTTTAATTCTCTCATGTATTGGCATTGATGGATAGTACTCGGTTAGAGGCTCTCCCCATCAATTATTTTTATGGTATATAGGGAATACTTTAAAATGTTTCAATGCCAGTTTTAGTCCGTGGTTTTTATAGTCAGAGCACATTTTAGCAAGTAATGTCGGGATCAAGCAAGCGCCGATAAGGCTGGTGAGCCCCCAGTTACAAACTGCCGGCGACGGTGCTACAGCAGCAGGTTTTTCTCAGAGCAGAACGTTTGCCTCTACCTTAGCTATCCAGTCAGGTGTTTATGGTCAGATGGGAGGTTTCTGGGGTTCCCTTACGCCAAGGGGTCAGCAGTGCAGCCCCAGGGAGGAGGGCTGTGTTATCCCTTCGCATCTTCTGCTGTAGCACATCGACACCAGGAGTTCGGCAGGTTCGGGGTAGTTTTGAGTATCTTTTGTTATGGCGTTTGCCCATGTCAGTCCCTGCAAACAAAAACAGAGACAAGTGAAGATCAGCGTTAGGTCTGTACGTGAGCTGACTCTGCCTTTTCTTAGTCTGTGCTGTCCTAAGGAGGCACCCGCAGCAAAGAGCTAAGAAAGCAATGCTTGGGGAAACCGAATGTATCAAAGACCTCGTCTATTATTAAAAGGGTCGATCAGCTTCTGTCTGCCCCAGAGCAAAACTGGAGAGCAAAATGTTGAACGCAGCCCGAAGGTCCTTCCCTGGACGGCACGGGGACCGCAGGAGGGTTTGCTCGTGGCTGGAGGCACCGGCTCTCCATCCCCAGGCTGGGCTTCTCCTGGCTTTCCACCAAGGGGCTCAAATTGGGGTCTGCAGTTCAGGGACCGCTTGCACCACCGGAAAAAAGCCGATCGTTGAAAATAGGACTGTGTTTCCTTTCTGTTATTGAAGAGTCACGCTTCTGTAGTTCATGGCTTATCCTTTCTTCCTCGCAGTACCCGAGGAATAGCCCGTAACTCCGAGCACAATAGTCGGCAGCTATTGTACCTGATCTCTGGGTTCACGTGGTTTACAAATCACTTTTCTTTGCAGTAAGGTTATAAAGGATTAGCAAGTACTTTTTTCTCCCTCAGTGCTCCGTTTTAACTCGATTCCATTAGCATTAATGGGAGCGACACATGTGCATGAAGCAGAGAATAAACTCTTAAGCCCAAGATGTGGATATTAACAGCAAACTGAGAAATGCAATTTCAAAGTCTATCCCATAAAAAGTATAAAAGAGCAGAAACTATTCTGAACTCCAAATGAACTGTGTAAAATACTGTATTTTATACTGAAATGCTTGAGTTTCTCTGCCCCAAGTAAAACACCAGCAAGTTTTGACAGAAATAGGACCAAATACCTTATTTTAAAAGACTAATTTATCAGCTGATGAGTTTTTTGACCTTAAGATATGCTTATATTCTTTTCTAACTCATGTCATTGAGTAAAAAGCTGTGAAGGTCAAAAGACATTTTTTCTAACCTTCTTGTGTTCTTCCATTAATATTGCAGGTTCTCTTTTTTTTTTTTTTTTTAAATTTTCTTTCTCTCTCAGGGAGAGACGCCGACAGTGTCAAAGACAGTGTAGGTAAGGATGGGAGGAGGAGGAGAATGTCTGTTACACCAGAACCAAGGAGCTTAAAATAAATCTCTGGCAAACAACCAGAGAGGGATGAATAAATATTCATATTATGCATGAGTAGACAGCTTAAAAAATACGAAATTCTGACGGGTGCCCATAGGGCTGTGTATTAACATGCTGTTGTCAGAACTGGTGAACCTTGGTGGTTTTCGAAACCAGGGAGATTGTGGTTTGGGTTTGTTCTGTTGGTTGATGCTAAATGAGAACGGCTCTGACCTCTGAGACCTGAAATCTTGCAAACTTGCATGTACGGTTTGACCTTTAAATTAGAAAACAGGATTGAATTTGTAAGGGTGGAGGAGGATCCCGCAGACAGTGTTCAGAGCTATGTAAAAGATAGCATGTGTTTACATGTAGGATATAAATATTAATTTTCCATCTTTCTTTTTCCATTTTTTCCTGCACTTGAGGCTAAATGTTCAATTCTTCTGACAGACAGAAAGACTATAGACTTTCTCAGTATGGGGGATTAAATGACAAATAATGTAAACAGGCGTAGACTGAACAATATGAGTTTATTTGTATTTAATGCAGTGATATAGATTGGCTAATCCAGCAGCAGGTCTGAAATAGGAAACTAATTGCAAGACGTTGCAATAAAACCTCTGGATATAGGAAGTGCAAGGACTGGTGCTAACGTCCCAGCTTGTGCAACAGCTAAGACCCAAATGAAGTTTCACTGGCAGCATTAGGTACGGAAGAAGCAGCAAAAAAGAAGGTAATGACAGGCACGCGGGTGAGACTAGCGTATCACCACCGTTTCTTTCAGAGGATGAGAAAATCCTTGTCAGGCAGGTTCTTTCAGCAGCGGAGCTGCTGCTGGTTCTGTGCTCGGAGCTGTGCGGCGCGGAACCCGCCTCGGAGGAGCGGTGGCAGGGGTTGTCCTGCAGCCGAGATGCTCTTGGGTTTCAGAGCACTCCAGCTCTGCCAGAAACGGCTTTTTGTACCATTTAATACCTGGTTGCCTTTGATGGCAGAGCAGGCTGATCCAGGCCTTTCCAGCCCCCTTATCTCTGTGGTTTAGTGGACAGAAGCTGTAGGTGAATGTTGGTAGAGTCTGTGCGTTTCTGCTCTTTTGGGGAAGTACAGCAGTTCTGGTTGTATTGCTGCATCTCTGACAAGGGCGAGTGCCGATGACTTTATTTGCCTGTTTCATTATGATGCACCTTTAACATTTTCCCACTGCCATTAGCTCGTCTCGTTTGGACTGTCACGGGAGGGCTCAAGGCAGTAAAAGCAAGAGAACTTTTGTTAGCTGGTATCCATGGCACTTTAGCAGAAAAAGAATACAAAGATAATGTCAGTAGGTTATTTTTTCCTCACGCGTGAATAGACTGATAGTCTTGATTTTGTCCAGCACAGCGATCCAAATTATTTTCTATAAAATTGCATATTTTCCATTCCAAGCCTATTCCTTTGTGTGAATGGTGGTGTATTGCATTTAAAATTGAAACGATTGATTAAACACTGTAAATTCTGGTCCTTCAAATGTTATTGCCTTTAAACCTGCCATTGTTACTGTGTTATTCTAGTCCTTTAAACGTAGCTGGGCTCATAGTTCAGAGGCAGGGCTGTGCTGATCAGCGCACTCTGTAAACACAGCGTCGGTGGGATGCGATGGCCTTCCTGGCCCTTCTGGCCATCCCTGGTTGTCACTGTTTCGACATCACTCGATCTATATTGAACTACATTCTTTGGAAATGTGTTGTGCTTGCCTCATATCCATGGCGCTAGCGTGGATTTATACTACTATGGATTGTTTTAGTAGATGAGGAATAACCGTTTTTAGTAGATAAGGTATAACCATTTTTTCATTTTCAGAGATTAGGAATATTTTGCTGCCCATAAAGAACTGAGAAGAGTTTAGTTTTCCAGCTCCACAGGTATGCACCAGTGGAGAGACATCGCTCTCTAATGACGGACCATCTGTCCACTCTTGCATGTTGCAGAAGTTTTGGGTTGAACATGGCTGATAATGCACGGTTTCTTCAGGTCGTTTGTGGCTTCATTTCCACATAATACAGTAAGCCGGCATGTGCTAATGAGCACACATGCAATCAAAGAGAATTGCTTGTGCCTCCCTCTCTATTTGTGCGTAATGTTCTTCGGTTGAGCTGAGGTGACTTTGACACCTTCGTACCCATCAGCCTTCTGAAGCTGAACGGCACAGGGCTGGGCGCAGAGCGCGTTGCACCAACGGTGCTTACCATGAAACACCAGCTATTGAATTTCACAGGAGTAGAGTTTCAGCCATTTGTAGTTCTTTTTACCTTTGAGGACGTCATCATAACCCCCCGTAATTGTGTTAAAGACAATTTAGTATAATGCCTTCAGTTTGATTTTTTTTTTTAATG